CTGTGCCATGGCTGTGCCAAGGCTGTGACAGGACTGTGCCAGGGCTATGACAGGACTGTGCCAGGACTGTGCCATGGCTGTGCAATCCCTGTGCCGGTGCTCTTTCTCCCCAGAGCTGCCTGTCCCCTGCCAGCCTCAGGCAGCCACGGGCGAGGCGTTGGCACCCCAGAAGCGGCCGTGGTTCGGGTGGGGAGAGGCACGAACTGTACAAACCACCCCTGCTGCGGCTGGGCCAGCTCTGCCAGATCTCTGGAGCCACCCCAACGCCCTGACGACCCCGGGGGGCTGCCGCTTGCCCCTCCTCGCCCCGGTGCTGTGTTTTGGGGCGGCGGGACGTGCCACACATGGCTCCTGTTTACCCCGCAGCTCCAGCCCGGGCACGTCGGCGGCACGGGCGGGCAGCGCCTCCTGGACAGCCTGTGCCCATCTTGTTTACCGGCCCTCGCCGTGTCACAGAAGCGTGTGACAGGTGCTGTCCCGGGACACCCGACACCGCCGGCAGCGGCAGCCGCGTGACAGCGAGCGACTCATAAATAGCGGGGCGAGGGGCGGCCAGAGCACCGCGAGGAGAGCACCATGGATTTCCAAGGCGGTATCCTGCAGGATGGCAACCCCATGGAGAGCCTGGAGAAGCAGCTGATCTGCCCCATCTGCCTGGAGATGTTCAGCAAGCCCGTGGTGATCCTGCCCTGCCAGCACAACCTCTGCCGCAAGTGCGCCAACGACGTCTTCCAGGTGAGCGGGGTCCCCGCGCCCGGCCGGGGGGACACGGGGCTGTTGTGGGGACACTCAGGGACCCCTTCCCCGTGTTCATCTCCCCCTCCCAGGCTGCCAACCCGTACTGGCAGAGCCGGGGCAGTCTGATTTCGGGGGGCCGCTTCCGGTGCCCCTCGTGCCGCCACGAGGTGCTGCTGGACCGCCACGGCGTCTACGGGCTGCAGAGGAACCTGCTGGTGGAGAACATCATCGACATCTACAAGCAGGAGTGCTCCAGGTGGGCACAGCCGGCCGTGCCTGGGGGACAGGGGGATGTGGGGATGTGGGGAGGTGGGGATGGCTCCTTCCCGTGCCCCAGCAGCAGCACTGAGACGCCGAGAGATCGCACTGGGGTCTGTCTGCTCAGTGACCCCCGAATCAAATCTTTCCCTGACTCAAATCTCCCTCCCTCAAGCAAAATCTCCATCTCTCGACCAAAATCTCCCTCCCTCAATGAAAATCTCCCTCTCTCGACCAAAATCTCCCTCCCTCGAGCAAAATCTCCCTCTCTCGACCAAAATCTCCCTCCCTTGACCAAAATCTCCCTCTCTCGACCAAAATCTCCTTCCCTTGACCAAAATCTTCCTCTCTCGACCAAAATCTTCCTCCTGCAACTCACAACTTCCTCCCCAGACCCAAAACTTCTTCCCCGGACCCCAAACTTCCTCCCCGAAAGCAAAACTTCCTCCCCCAACCCAATTCTCCCAGCAGTTTGTGCCTCTGGCTGTCCCAGGGGGGTGGCAGGTCCCTGGGGGGTGGTGGCACGTCCTGCTGCCCCCCAGCTCTTGCTGGAACATTCGGTGGCAGATAAGAGGTGTGGGGAAGGAATCCAGGCTCTGCTGTGACAGCGGGCACTGGGGCTGATAAGGGGCACAGGGACAGCTTGGGGGGGCCCAGTGGGTACAGGGATGACGCTGGGGGGGACAGAGGGGTCACAGCTCCCGAGGCAGAGCAGCGGCCCCTGCCAAATCCCCTGAACTGCTGTAAATATTGTGTCAGAGCCATGGGGACAGGGACGATGGCACGTGGCAGGTGGCTGGGGGGGCCGGGGGGCCCAGGCCTGTCCCTGGTTCACAGTGCTGGCTTGTCCCCATGTCCCTCCTCGCTGTGGATGGGACAATTGAGCTGCAGCCCCCGTCTGGGACCCCCCGGGGGTTTCTGGGTGTCCCCACCCCGGTCACACGATGGGTGACAATAAATCCGGGCAGCACAGGGCTAAAATTAGGCACTGGTGCAGCGCCTCTGGATCGCAGCCCCCCCGTCCCCAGTGCCACCCGCTGCCATGCCCAGCCCCACGGTGGCTTTAACTGGGCCACACTGGCGTTTGCAGAGGCGCAGAGGCCGGTGGCTCCCGAGGAGCAGCTGTGGGATCACGCCAGGATCTGGCCTCTTTCCCAGGGATCTGATTTTGGGGGTGTCACCACGGCTGGGGTGACGCTGCAGTGGGGACACCGTGGTGGCAGGGGCCTCCCTGTAGCGGGGACATCACCCCGGTGCGGGTGTCACCGTGACGGGGACGTCACCGCGGCCGTGCCACCCTCTCCAGCAGGCCACTGAAAAAGGGGGAGCACCCCATGTGCAAGGAGCACGAGGACGAGCGGATCAACATCTACTGCGTCACCTGCGAGGTCCCCACCTGCTCCATGTGCAAAGTCTTCGGTGCCCACAAGGACTGCGAGGTGGCCCCTCTGCAAACCGTCTTCCAGGGACAGAAGGTGCCTGGGGGGGGACCCGGGGGGGCTGCGGGCCATGTGCCGGGCTGGGACAGTGACAAATAACTCCAGGGCTGGCTCACGGGGTATTAATAGCCCCCGGGTGACTTCGCCCAGGAGACAGACTATATTTAGAGCAGCCGTGGCTGGTGAGGGATGAGGAGCAGAGCTGGGGATGAGCAATGCCCGGGCTGGGGTGGGAGCAGCTCCTGTCCCCACAGGAGTTAAAACTCCTTCTCTCTCTGCTCGCCAGACTGAGCTGAACAACTGCATCTCCATGCTGGTGGCGGGGAATGACCGGATCCAGACCATCATCTCCCAGCTGGAGGACTCCTGCCAGAGCACCGAGGTGAGCAAAGGGGGGAAAGGAGCCCCCCAAAAAACCCGGGGGTGAAACCTTAGCCGGGCATGGCCGGGAGCGGGGCGGAGCCCGCGGAGCAGGGATGCTGCAGGTGCCGGAGGGACACGCAGGTGGCATCCCTTGTCGCTTGTCCCCGCAGGAGAACAGCGAGGCGGCCAAGAGGGAGCTCTGCGCTCGCTTCGACGCTCTGGCGGCGCTGCTGGAGGAGAAGAAGGCGGAGCTGCTGCAGCGCATCTCCCGGGAGCAGGCGGACAAGACCGCCTTCATCCAGAGCCTCATCTGCCAGTACAAGGAGCAGCTGGAGAAGTCGAGCCGGCTGGTGGAGACTGCCATCCAGGCAGCCGAGGAGACCGGGGGGGCTGCCTTCCTCATGGTGAGACCCCCCAGACCCGCCCCGTGGGGTCCCACTGCTGGGGACGGCCTGCTGGCTGCTGTGGCTTCACTCACCTCCTCTTCCTCCCTCTTCTCCTCCTCCTCCTCCTTCCCCTTTTCTCTCTCTCCACAGAATGCCAAGCAGCTCATAAAAACGTAAGTGCTCAAACCGGGGGAATCTCCATGATCCAAACCCCCCGGGGCAGGATTTGGCCAGCGGGGGCTGCCCTGACCCCCCCTGCCCTGGTGCCCCTGGTGTCCCCAGCTCAGCGAGGGGACAGGGACACACACACAGACCCCCGTGCTCTCCCTGCCCAGGATCGTGGAAGCCTCCAAGGGTGGTCGCCTGGACAAGATCGAGCAGGGCTACGAGAGCATGGACGCCTTCTCCGTGAGCCTGGAGCACCTCACCGAGGCCGTGCACGCCCTGGACTTCGAGCCCGGTAATTCAGCCCCCAGCGCCCCCTTAGCGACCCCCACCCAGCTGGTGACACCCACCGCTTCTCCCGGTGGCTCCTGGTGACCTTTAGCCTCTTGCTTGCAGCAGAGGAAGATGAGGAATACTTTGATGGGGAGGAAGAAGAGGTGGAAGAGAACGCAGCGCCCGAGAGGACAGTGATGGGTAAGGGGCAGAGCACGGCTGAGCCCAGCCAGGACCCTCAGCACCCACGGGGGAGCTTTGGGGGCTTGGGCTCTCCTTGATCACCCCATCCTCTCCCTCGGCAGCTTCCCTGTAGCCACAGCAACGTTGCCGGCGCGGGAGAAACGCCCCCGGGCACAGGATGTCCGGCGACGGATTTGGGGTGGGGGGGACACGGGGCAGGGCCCGGCAGCCTGGAGAGCCGGAGCTGCCCCAGCACAGGACACTTTTCTATACGGGTGCAAATAGGACAATTCCGCACGTTTTGTAATTCCCTTGTTTTGTATATAATTGTCACGGATTTGAAATTTGTGTATTTTGTAAAGAAAAGCCGCTGCTTTGAGTGGTTATTTTCTTCCTCGCCTCTCGCTCTCGGCTCGCCAGCCCCGCGGTGGGCACCGGGGATGGCTTTGCCGGGCTGGTGCCATCAGCGGTGTCCCTGCCAGCAGCCGGCGTGGCAGAGGGACACCTCCGGTCCAGCTCTTAATTTCCAGCCTCATTAGCACCTCTGGCAGCCGCTCCTGGCCGCCCGCCCGGGATGTAACAGGTCGGCACCCGGCAGGATTTATCTCCCGGGGATGGGATGTCCTGTCCAGAGCTTGCCGTGGGCTGGAGAGGTGGCACGAGGCGGGCTGGGGATGCTCCAGGCTGGGCCAGCCCCCGAAATGGGGATGGTTTCGGCATCGAGCTGCTGGTTTGCTGCTGACTGAGCTCAGAAAAACACCTTGGATGGGAAAACACACCGTAAATGCTAATAATACATCCTAAACGCAAAGGTGCCCCATAAATGCTTTTCTCCTGCAAAAACATGAGCCCTGCTCAGAGGGGGCCGAGGGGAAATCGAGGCAGCACCCGGAGCTGAATTGCCGTGGGCTGGAGAGGTGGCACGAGGCGGGCTGGGGATGCTCCAGGCTGGGCCAGCCCCCGAAATGGGGATGGTTTCGGCATCGAGCTGCTGGTTTGCTGCTGACTGAGCTCAGAAAAACACCTTGGATGGGAAAACACACCGTAAATGCTAATAATACATCCTAAACGCAAAGGTGCCCCATAAATGCTTTTCTCCTGCAAAAACATGAGTTCTGCTCAGAGGGGACCGAGGGGAAACCGAGGCAGCACCGGAGCTGAGCCACAAGGGCAATTAGCGCCAGGGTAATTAACGCTGCTCACCCAGGGCGGGGCAGGAGTCTCTGCTGTGGAGGGGGGGTCCAGGCTCATCCATCACACGGCTGGATCCAAACTGGGGGGTTCCGAGGGCTCCCCAAAGCGGGGAGGGGGGGGTCACCGCGTGCCTTTGGAGGGGACATGGGGCCATTCCATCTGCCCTGCACCCAGCCCGGGTGCGCAGCTCCTGGGGGCGCTCGGGGAGGGGGTCGCAGAGCAATCCCCTCCCCACAGCAGCCCCCCGGCTGCCGGGCGAGGGGGCCCAGCCCGGGGCAGGCTCCGCGGGCGCTTTGCAGCCGGCTTGGCCGTCCCTCCTCCAGCCGGGATTTGCACACGAATCCCGGCTCTTCACACGAGCCAAGGCCACCGGCTGCCACCAGCGCCGGCCACACGCCGGGGTCACCCGCGCCGACCCCCCCGGCCCCGGAGGAGGATGGCAGCCGGCGACGAGAAGCGGCACCTCCTGAGCGAGGGCACAGGCGGGTACGGGGGTGCCAGGGGGGGCCGGGGGTGTCGTGCCCCCTCTCCTGTGCGGCTCCCCAGTGGGGTCTGGCCGGGGGAAGGGGCTGGGGGGGGAGCACTCAGGGTCCGGCCGAAGCCCCCCAGCCCCAAGCCGCGCTTTGGCCGGCAGGGGCTACGCGGGGGCTGCGCGGAGGGACGGGCAGAGCGCGGAGCGGGGACAGGAGCCCGCCCTGGAGCTGGGGACACGGCGTGGCCAGCACTGCCACACGCGGGGGGCTGGCGGCCACCCCGGCCAGCAGCAGCGGGCGCGGAGGAAGCTCTACCTGGCCGCTGGCATCTGCCTCTTCTTCATGGTGGGGGAAGCCGTGGGTGAGTGCTGGGTGCCGGCTGCCTTGGGGTCCCCGTGGGGTCACCCCGAGAGGCCACCCAGAGCCCCTCGTGTCCTGGTTCCCTGCTGAGGGTGCTGCCAGAGCTCCCGTTGGCTTTCTGTGGGTCAGAACACCCAGCGGGACCCCCCCTGTGGCACGGGGTGAGCTGATCTGTGCCAGCTCCCTGCCGTGTCCCCCCGATGTCCCCCGATGTCCCGTGTCCACAGGTGGGTACCTGGCACACAGCCTGGCCATCCTGACGGACGCTGCCCACCTGCTGACGGACTTTGCCAGCATCATGATCAGCCTCTTTGCACTCTGGGTGTCCTCACGGCCCCCCACCAAAACCATGAACTTCGGATGGCACCGGGCAGGTAACGCGGTGGCACCGCCCCGGGGGTGCCCTCCCCACGTGGTCCAGGGGTTTCGGGGTGCCCTGAGGGGCCTGGGGAGCCCTGGCTAAGTTCTGGCACCCTGAACAAGGCAAGGCAGAGGCTCTGCCAGCCCTGTGCAAGGAGCATCCCGAGGATGGGTGCTGGGTGTCCCCGCCGTGCCCAGCCCTGCCGGGGATGGTGCTGGGGGTGGCACGGCAGTGAGGCAGCGATGGGGCGGGGGGGTTCTCTTTGCAGAGATCCTGGGGGCCCTGCTCTCCGTGCTCTCCATCTGGGTGGTGACGGGGGTCCTGGTCTACCTGGGGGCCCAGCGCCTGCTCTCGGGTGACTACGACATCGAGGGCGGGGTCATGCTCATCACCTCGGCCTGCGCCGTGGCCGTCAACATCGTGTACGTGCTGCCACACTGTCGCGGGGTGTCCCCTCCCTGAGGCCGCCGGGCCCCGGGGTGTCAGCAGTGCCCTGCCCGCAGGATGGGGCTGGCTCTGCACCAGACCGGGCACGGGCACAGCCACGGGGCAGCGGGCGAGCCGCCCAGTGCCAGCGTCCGCGCCGCCTTCGTGCACGTGCTGGGCGACCTGCTGCAGAGCGTCGGCGTCCTCGTCGCCTCCTACATCATCTTCTTCAAGGTCCGGGGGTGCTGCGGGAAAACGGGGTGCTGGGGGCAAAGGGGGAGCTGGGGGCAAAGGGGATGATGGGGGCAAAGGGGGAGCTGGGGGAAAAGGGGAAGATGGGGGAAAATGGGGTGCTAGGGGAAAAGTGGGTGCTGGGCATAAAGGGGGTGCAGGGGTCAAAGGGCGTGCTGGGGGCAAAGGGGGTGCTGAGGAGAAACAGAGTACTGGGGGAAAAGGGGGTGCTGGGGGCAAACGGGGTGCTGTGGACAAAGGGGTTGCAGGGGGAAAAGGGGGTTTTGGGGACAAAGGGGGTGCTGAGGGCAAAGGGGGTGCTGGAGGCAAGGAGGATGCGGGGGGTAAATGGGGTGCTGGGGGGAAAGGGGGTGCTGGGGACACGGGGACAGCAGCCTGGCCGTGGCCAGGCACAGGGTGAGACAGCCAGGGCCGTGTGCCCTCCCTGCTGGTCCCGATGGGGGTTTGGGGTGGGGTGGCGGTGGGGTCTCACCCCCTGGCACCCCCCCAGCCCCAGTACAAGTTCGTGGATCCCATCTGCACCTTCCTCTTCTCCGCGCTGGTGCTGGGGACAACGCTGACCATCCTCCGCGATGTCCTCCTCGTCCTCATGGAGGGTAGGGACCCCCGGGGCGGGGTGGGCGGCGGGGGCACCCACGGGGGCCGTGGGGCCGTCCCTGAGCTGCCGTGCCCCCGCAGGGACCCCCAAAGGGATGGATTTCAACGCCGTGCGGGAGACGCTGCTGGCGGTGCGGGGCGTGGAGGCCGTGCACAGCCTGCACATCTGGGCACTGACCGCGGCACAGCCGCTGCTCTCCGTGCACATCGCCATCAGTGAGTGACACAGGGCCGCCGGGAGGGTCACACGGGGGGACAGGGCCGCCAGGGACTGACACACAGGGGGACAGGGGTGCCAGGGAGTGACACACAGGGGGACAGGGCCATCAGTGAGTGACACAGGGCCGCCGGGAGGGTCACACGGGGGGACAGGGGTGCCAGGGAGTGACACACAGGGGGACAGGGCCATCAGTGAGTGACACGCAGGGGGACAGGGCCACCAGGGTGTGACACACAGGGGGACAGGGCCACCGTGAGGGTCACACAGGAGGACAGGGCCATCAGTGAGTGACACAGGGCCACCATGAGGGTCACACAGGGGGACAGAGCCACCATGAGTATTGCAGCGAGGGGGACAAAGCCACCAGGGAGTGTCACACAGGGGGACAGGGCCACAGTGAGGGTCACAGCAGGGGGACAGAGCCATCAGGGAGTGTCACAGTGTGGGGACAGAGCCACAGTGAGTGTCAAAACACGGGGACAGGTGTGCCAGAGCCACCAGTGAGTGTAACTATGGGGGGACAGAGCCACCAGGGAATGTCACAACATGGGGACAAGGGTGCCAGAGCCATCAGTGAGTGTCACAACGGGGGACAGGGGTGCCAGAGCAGCTGCTCTGGGTGCACGTCTCCCTCAGTGGGTGTCACAGCGGGCGGGGAGGGCCGGGGTCTCCCCGCACCCCCCCACCCGCGGCCTCTCCCCTCGCAGACGCGGCTGCCAGCGCGCAGGAGGTGCTGGAGGAGGCGAGCTCCCGGCTGCAGGGCGCCTTCCGCTTCCACAGCACCACCATCCAGGTGGAGAGCTACTCCGAGGAGATGCGGGACTGCCGGGAATGCCAGCCCCCCCGCGACTGACCCCCGCCCCCGCGGCGCGGGGCGCTTTTCATGTGCGGCAAATAAAGCAGAGCACACGGGGTGCGCGGGGGGATGTTGGGTCTGGGTGTTATCTCCGCTATCGGCAGGAGCCAAGGACAGACCCAGGGCTGCGGCAGCCTGAGGGTGGCTGTTGGAGGCCACCTAATAATTCCGTATTTCTATTCAGCTGGGAGGAAAGCCAGCTGGAACACGCCTTTTCCCTTCTCCGGGGAGCGCTGCGAGGCGATGGGGTGCTGGGCTGCCCGGGGACTGCGGGACACCCAGCTGGAGCCGGGGAGGGAGGTCACACACAGCTCTTATCGCTCCTCTGTTTGCTCTCGGGAAGGTGAAGGACTCTCCCTCCCCGCAGGGCTGGGGGGGCTGCCCGGGTTATTTCCAGGGTGCCGAAGGCAGAAGTGTTGGAGCAGCCAAAAGCCGATGCTCCCGGTGCTCCCGGTGCTTCCCCCACACCCCACAGCCACCATCTGAATCCTACACTCCCCCCTCCTTTATTGCACTGTTAAAAAACCCAATAACGAGTAAAACCCCGTCAGCAGCCAGCCTGCTCCCGGAGGGCTCCGAGCACCGGGAGCGGCACCGGGAGCCCGCCCCGACCCCGGAGCCCTCATGGCTTCTCCAAGCTCGGGTATTTCTTGCGCAGGACGGAGACCTGGTCCTTGAAGAGGACGGGGTCGAGGCGCAGCTGGGAGGGCACCAGGGGCATGTAGCCAAACCAGTCTGCCAGCTGGTTGAGGCAGTCCTGCGGCTGGGAGGAACGCGGGCTGCCCGCCGTGCCCTCCGCCCGGGCAGGGGCAGAGCGAGGGGCCGGGGGGGTCCCCGCAGCCCCATCGCTGCACCCCGCCTGCTGGGCCACCCCCTCCTTCAGCTGCTTGCGCTGGGTCACCTTGATGGGTGGCAGCTTGGTGACAGCGGCCACCAGGACGTTCATCAGGATGTCCTCGCAGGCGGCCAGCCCGTCCACCAGCTCCCGCAGCCCCGCGGGCAGGTACTCGGTGAAGAGGCTGTGGTAGTACCTGGGGGGAGGACGGGGTGAGGGGATGTGGCCGACCCCCCCGGCCCCCGCAGCCCCCCGAATGGGGTGCTGGGGGGAAAGGGGGTGCTGGGGACACGGGGACAGCAGCCTGGCCGTGGCCAGGCACAGGGTGAGACAGCCAGGGCCGTGTGCCCTCCCTGCTGGTCCCGATGGGGGTTTGGGGTGGGGTGGCGGTGGGGTCTCACCCCCTGGCACCCCCCCAGCCCCAGTACAAGTTCGTGGATCCCATCTGCACCTTCCTCTTCTCCGCGCTGGTGCTGGGGACAACGCTGACCATCCTCCGCGATGTCCTCCTCGTCCTCATGGAGGGTAGGGACCCCCGGGGCGGGGTGGGCGGCGGGGGCACCCACGGGGGCCGTGGGGCCGTCCCCGAGCTGCCGTGCCCCCGCAGGGACCCCCAAAGGGATGGATTTCAACGCCGTGCGGGAGACGCTGCTGGCGGTGCGGGGCGTGGAGGCCGTGCACAGCCTGCACATCTGGGCACTGACCGCGGCACAGCCGCTGCTCTCCGTGCACATCGGGGAGGGGACCGCCGCTGCCCCTGGAGGACGCGGGGACATGGGGACAGCCTGTGGTGATCACTGAGTGTCCGAGGGACGCGGGGCCGTGGCCTCACCTCGCTGGTGGAGAGGCTGGTGTCCTCGTCCAGGCTCAGCACCGCGTCCGTCTGGATGACCCCGAAGGGGAAGAAGCGGTCGCTGAGCTGTGGAGGGAGGAGGGACAGGTTGGTGCCCTGGGGTGGCTGTTGCAGTCCCCTGGCAGTGTCCCAGCTCCCTGCCCCTGTCCCAGCTCCCTGTCCCTGTCCCAGCTCCCTGTCCCTCTCCCAGCTCCCTGCCCCTGTCCCAGCTCCCTGTCCCTGTCCCTGCTCCCTGTCCCTGTCCCAGCCCCCTGGCAGAGTCCTGCCCCCCTCACCTTCCTCCTGCCCTGGATGATGGTCAGAGGCACGCTGCTCTGGGGCCATTTCCCGCTCGGGGGTGGTGGCTTCTCGCAGTTCCACAGGACCACGATCTGCAAGGGGAAGGACAGATGTGGCCGGAGGGGTTGGCTGGGTTCTCTGTTCCAGCCCAGCCCATCCCAAAACCACCTCGTGGCAGTTTGGACCAGGATAAACCCCCAGGTGGTCCCGCCCCCACCCCAAAGGGCTTGGGACACAGCTCTGCCCGCCCAAAGGTGACACCACCAGCCACCCCTCCACCCCTAAACCCACCCATCCCCTCTGCGACCCGCAGGACCAGCCCCACCATCCCCCCGGATCCTCGGGGGCTGCACCGGCACACTCGGGACTCTGCTCCTCCCACCTGGGCGCAGTGCTGGGATCCAGAGACGGCTTGGATGAGCCTGAGGATGGGCTGGGACAGCGACCCTGCTTGCGAGACCGTCCGGATGAAAGCCGTGAACTTCTTGGAGGGGCTGTAGCCTGAAAAAAGGGTGGGAAAGGGAGAGGAAAGGTGTTGGGCACACCCCAAGTTTGCGGGGCTCAGCCGGGGTAGGCAATGTCCTACCTTGCTGCAGGTAGTAGAAGGGAAAATCCCCGAGGTGGGTGGAGAATTCCGGCAGGACCAGGAGCCCCCCGGGCAGCGCGTTCCAGAGGAAGCGGGAGCGGGAGCGGTGCGGAGACAGCCGGTCCTTGATGATCTGCCGGAGGCCCGAGTGATGCTCCCGGCACCCCCGCGGTGACCCCGGCAGCTGGGAATGGGGGGGGATTCGGGGTGGGGGGCTCACCTCCAGCGTGGTGTGCACGATCTTGTCCACGGAGGAGAAGTAGGCATCCCACAGGAACTGGGTCTGCTGCTGGAAGGCCAGCACGCGCTCGGGGCGGATGCAGCGCACGGCGGAGGGGATCTGTGCCGGGGGAGCAGCGGGGTCCTCACCTCGGCTCCCCCCCTCGAGGATGGGCTCCTGTGTCCCCTCCAACCATCCCACGGGACAGCCCCTGCTGTGGGTGGTGCCACCTCCCCCTGTGGGGCTGCATCTCCTCTCCCTGGAGCAGGATCAGCCCCGGGATTCCAAAGGGTTTGTGCCTGGGAAGATCCTTCCCAGCTTCCCCCCGAGATGAACAGAGCCCTGGGAGTGCAGCAGGGGTGGGACCCCCATTCCAGGCTGGCTCAGACCCTCCCGCAGCTGCCCACAGGAGCACTGCCAGGCTCAGCTGCGGGGGGCTCACCCCCAGACTCAGCTGGGGGCTCCACCACCGCTGGCACTGGGATTGGGGTCTGGTGCTGGCAGAATCTGGAGCCGGTACCTGCAGCAGGAGCCTCTCGCTGCCCACGACAGCAGCTTTGCCCCAGTCGATGGCCTCGGCAAAGGGCAGCTCCCAGCCATCACTCAGCAGCACCGGGATGCAGGCGGCCTGTGGAGGGACCCCGCAGGCTGGGACAGAGCCCCCAGACCCCGGTGAGGGGGTGCCCCATCCCCCTGCCCACCCTGTACCTGCAGAGCCTCGAGGAAGCGGAAGGAGCCCAGGCGCCTGCCCCGGGGCACGATGCAGAAGGTGGAGTTGTGCAGCAGCTCCTGGTAGTCAAACCTGGCGTGGGAGATGGGCTGGGGGTCAGGCATGGCCCCCTCCCCTCCTGTGAGCACCCCGGGAGGTGCTGCTGGCACCGGCCAGGTGTGGAGCCAGCCCAGGGCAGGGTCAGGATCGGTTTGGACTGATTTTGGCTCTGAACATCCCTGGTTTTGTGGGAGCAGAGACCTCCTGGGTGCTGAAGGGATGGACCCGGGCATCCCTTAAACAGGGAGGGGCTCAGGAAGGGACCCCAGTTCCCTTTGAAAGCACGACCCAGCTCCTCCCAGCCTCCAGCAATGACACCCCACGCAAGGCCACCACCCGAGCCCCCGAGCCCGAAACTGCAGCGACTCCTGTGCCGTGCCCAGACTTGCTGGGCAGGACCAGCCCTGCCTGCCCTGGCAGCGTTCGGGGGGGGGCAGTGGGTGTCGGCAGCGCGGCCCCCCCGGCCGGGCTCGCCCGTGGGGCTCTCAAAGCCCCTTCTGTGCCGTGCTGGGAGAAGCTCGGCCGCTGCCGGGTCCCTGCGGCCGCGCCGGAAAATCCAATATTGACTTTAGGTCGGGACAGACCCCGTCTGTTCCTGCCCGCGGGGGAGGGGCAGCCGGTCCCGGAGGGGCTGGGGGTGACTCTCGTGGTCCAGCTGGATGGTTGGGAGACCAAAAAGAGCCCTTGCAATGTGCTGGTCCCAGGAGGAAGGGTGTCCCGCGGTGGGGACGCGGCGCTGGTGCCAGGCTGGGAGCTGAGGCTGTGTCCCCTCCGCGGGTGCCCGGAGCTGGCACGTCCCAGAGCTCCGGGATGTGGGAAATCAGCCCCAATGCCAAGGCACAGAGTTTCACAATAAAATCCGCCTCTGGATGATCCTCCCCAGTGTCTCCAAAGGATGCCAAAATCCTTGACCCGTTAACCCTCAAACTCCCGGCCGGGCAGCCGGAGGGGTGACAGCTCAAACCTCATGAAACCACAGCAGCGACAGCCACATCCCCGGGGCCAGACCGGGCTGTCACATCTCCTGGGGACCCCAGACCTTGCCTTTACCCCCGGCAGCTCCGGGGGGCCTTTCCCGCTGCCGGGGCCGGGTGGGCAGCGGGTCCCGGGGGGGAATTGCCCTCGGCCGCAGCCGGTGCGGCGGGGCTGGCGCCGGCCGGGCTGCGGGGCCGAAGGCTCCCGATGGAAACACTCCGCTCCTGACGCGCTGCGGTTTCCGGGCAATCGCCGTCAGGGCTTCCTTGTTTTGTCAGGAGCCGAGCTCCCCTCGCCAGGCCCCTCCGTGGCTCCGGCCGGGCACGGTGCCACCGGCACCGGCGGCTCCGCAGAGCCGCTCCCAGCCCGCGCCGGCTGCTCCGAGCGCGGGGCAGCGGGGCCGCTCCGCAGCGCTGCCACAAGCCGCCCTTTATCCCAGAACAGAACCGGATTGTTCGGGGCAGCCCCTGGGGCGTGAGGAGGATGATGGCACCCCCAGCAGGGCCTTCCTCTGCTCCCCGAGGGGGTTCCACCGTGCCAGCCCCCGACACGCCGGGTGAACCGGGGTCTCACTCTGTCCCCTCCCTGCTGGCCTGTCCCCTGTCCGAGTGGCCTGTCCCCTGTCCGGGCAGGAGGGCAGGGCGGGCAGAGCTGGCCCTGGTGGCCATGCCCGTGGGTTTGTGCTCAGTGTCCCACAGGGACGAGCAGGGCGGCAGAGGCTCGGGGTCACACAGAGCACGCTGCCTCTGCCACGTGTTCCACATGGATCCCCTGGCCAAAGCCATCCTGGGAGAGGTGTAAATCTCCCTGTGTTTGCAAACAGCATTAGGGGATTACCTGGGTGGGTGGATGAGGGGGAATTCTCATCCCGCTGTCCCTTGGCACGGCGTGGGGCTGACCTTGGGCCCCCTGTCCTGCCAACCCCGCTGTCCTGAGATGCCCCATCCCAAGGAGACTTTGCTACAAGTGCTGACCCTGCTGGGCTGGTGGCACCCTCCAGACAGGGCCATGTGGTGCCTGACCCACCCCAAAGCCCTGGCTAATCCCAGTGCCAGCACCCCAGTTCCACTTTTACCTCCCAGTACCTCCTAAGACGCTTTGAGGATGATGCCCAGCGTGGCCTCTCCCCATCTGCTCTCCAGCCGGGTGGCTGGGGGATGTCCCCAGGCAGTGGGATGGGCACCTGCCCATTGTCTGTGGGATGGGCTCCGTGTTTACAACCCTGAATTCAGCAGCTATGATGGGTCTCAAGTAGTTGGATGGGGAGGTGAGGAGCTGGCATGCGTCCCTGCAGAATGGAGCCCCCAAACTCACAGAACTTTGTACCCCCAATTTTTCCACCAGTGCGCCCATCCCATGCTGCTGCCACCGTGTCCATTTCTGATGGGGGACGCAGGGGGACCCCCACCCACCACCACCAATTAAGCTCGGGGCTGCCCACACTGGGACGCCCACAGACCCGCCAGTTTTGTGGGATTTTCAGTGGAGCCAGTGAGGGGGGGAAGTTTCGGGCTCATCTCCAAGAGAAACGTTTATATTGGGGGAGAGCAGGAGGGGGGAGAAGAAAAGCGTCATTCATCAGCGTTTGGAAAAAAGGGAAATCGTATTAGAGGCGGTGGCAGCGATTGCAGATAAGAGCCGCTCTGGCCAGATTACTCCAACTTTAATACAGAGCTGGAAAGCCCTGAGCAGGCAGCGCCTCGCTCCCCACCGTGCCATGAGACCCTCATCCCCTTCAGGAGAACCCAAAACCTCCCTCTCCAGAGGCCCAGCCGCACAGACCGTCACGGCTGCGCCCCGCAGAGAGGCAGGGACACTTCTGGGGCATCCCATCGCCCCAGACCCCCCTTTCCCCCCCATCTCCGACTCACCTTTCATAGTCGACATTGTCCTTGTCGCAGCGCGTGTCCTTGTGCCTCTCCCAGTCTTTGCCGTGCTTGCAGGTGGTGAGGGAGATGATGTCCTTCCCGTTGTGGATGTGGTGCAGCGCGTTCCGCGTGCCGGAGCCGATGCCCGTCAGGTACCTCTTCCCCTTGAACACCAGCAGGTATTTCTTTTTGGGGGGCACCGAGTCCTGCCGCAGCCACCCCCCGTCCCCGCCGCGCTGCGGGTGCTCCCTGGGGAACAGAGGGATGGAGACGTCGAAGCCGGGCCGGAAGCTGCGGCTGTCGAAGCTGGCTCTGGCCAGGATGGCCTGGCCGGTGTCGAAGCCCAGCTCGCCGGTGTAGCCGGGCCAGGTGCCCGAGTAGAGGTTGAAGATGAGGTGGTTGCGGCCGCCGTTCCAGAGCGGGAAGCCGCGGATTTTCTCGTCCACGTTGCGGACGTACTGGCCCGAGAGGCGGTCGCGGTCCAGCGTGTCGATGCCGAGGATGAAGAGGCACGCTTCCTCGGGCCTCGGCGTGTGGTAGCGGGAGCGCTCGATGGAGCTGAGGATTTTGCTGTAGGTCTCCGAGACCGGCTGGCCCCGCTCCTGGGGGTAGGTGAACACTTTGAAGCCGTTCCTCTCGCACCTGGAGAGGTCGAAGCAGGTTTCCATCCGGCATCTGCTGCTCCTGTAGACGCTCAGCCACGCCGCCCGTCGCTCCCGGGGGGACAGCAGGGAAGGGTCCCCATCCCTCTGCAGCTCCTCGGGGTCTGCAAAGCTTTTGAGGAGGGATTGATCCGTCCAGCGGGGCCAGCTCCTCCGGGCTTCTGCTTTCCTCCCAGAAAAGAAAGCGAAACGGCGCAGCTGATCCCCTCCAAAGAAGAAAAGGAGAAGCCAAGAGGCAAGGAAAGTCAGGAAAATGTATTTCTTCCTGGTCTGCATAGGTTCACACGCAGCCCCAGCTCCTCATCGGGCTCAGGTGGGTGCCAGAGTCCGGTCAAGAGGCCGACGTTCCCAGTCCCGAGTGGGTGGTGGGACAGCTCCTGGCCCCAGGTACTGTCCTGTGTCCCTGAAGTCTGTGACAGTCCCCACTTTCTGCCCGCTCTGCCCAGGGCTGTGCTGGTTTCTCGGGACAGTCCCGGTGTCTGGCTGCAGAGCAGAGCCCGGTGCCCCGGTGTCCCAGCCGCTCACTTCTCCGGGCCCCCGAGCCGCGACAATGACATTTCCATCGCTTGACCCAGCTTCAAATCCCTGGAGAAAGGGAGAGGTCGCGTCGCCACCGTCCTGTCGCCGCCAGCCGTGTCACCACAAGTGGCTCCACACATCCCTGCGGCGGGACTCCCCTCCCCAGCTCCCTGGGGAATAAAACCCTGGGAACAAACCCCCCTCCCTCCCCTGCTCCTTCCCCCCCGGTCCCCCCGTTACCTTCGGGGACTCGCGGCTCCGGGTGGGTGTCGGGCAGCCGTGTCGCGGAGCCCCGATCGCCGCCTGCCCGCGGCTCCGGGCTGCATCCCCGACCGGGGAAGGCGGCGGAGCAGCCGCCGAGCGGCCCCGCCGGGCTCCCGGTGCGCGGCCGGGCGGAGGAGCCGCTGCGGGAGGCTCGGCACAGCCCCGCTCCCGGGGCGCTGGGCGTCCCCCTTGTCACCCTGTCCGTCTGTCCCTGCGCTGGGCTCCCTGTTCCCGTGTCCCCCCGGTGCCTGTCCAAGACCCCGGCTGCTCTGCGCTGTCCTCCTGTCCCTCCTCGGGACTGTCCCCTGTCCGTCTGTCTGTCCCCTCCGGGGCTAACTGTCCCGCCGTCCCCTGCCCCCCTCGGAGCTGGCTGTCCCCTGTCCGTCTGTCCTTTCGGGACTCTCTGTCCCCTGACCCCTCCCAGATCTGGTTGTCCCTCGTCCGTCCGTGTGTCTGTCCCGCCCAGGGCTGGCTGTCCCCTGTCCCTCGGGGAGCTGGCTGTGCGCTGTCCGCCGGTCAGTCCCCGCGGGGCTGGCTGTCCCCGTGTCCGTGTCGCTGTCCCCGTGTCCCCGTGTCCCCGGTCCCGGTGGTTCCGCGTCCCCCCCGCGCTCCACGTGCCCCCCCCGCCCGCATCTGTTACACGGCGCCCTGGCCCCGCCCCCTCCCCGGATTGCACCGACCCCGATCTCCCATTGGCTCTCCGCTCAAATGAGTGGGCGTGACCGGCGGAGCCCCGCCCCGCAGCGCGCGCCCATTGGCCGTGCCCACGTGGGACGGGGGGGATCCCCGGGGGGGCCGGGGCTGAGCCCCGTGTCCCCCCGTGTCCCCCCGTGTCCCCCCGTGTCCCCCTGTCCCTATGGTCCCCTGTCCCCATGTCCCCATGAAGCCCTGCCCCTGTGTCCCCATGGACCCATGTCCCCCTGTCCGCTTGTTCCCATGGTCCCTTGTCCCCGTGTTCCCCTGTCCCCATGGACCCCTGTCCCTCTGTGTCCCTGGCGCTGTGTCCCCCCTGTTCCCCTGTGTCCCCCTGTCCCCGTGTCCCCATGGACCCCTGTCCCTGTGTCCCCCTGTCTCTGTGTCCCCTGTCCCCGTGTCCCCATGGACCCCTGTCCCCCTGTCCCTGTGTTCCCCTGTCCCCGTGTCCCCCTGTCCCTCTGTGTCCCTGGCGCTGTGTCCCCCCTGTCTCCCTGTCCCTGTGTCCCCCTGTGTCGACCTGTCCCTGTGTCCCTCTGTCCCCGTGTCCCCCTGTCCCTCTGTGTCCCCGTTGTCCCCCTGTGTCCCAGGGGACAGAGATCGGTCCCAGCCTGGCCTGACCCCAGCTCAGACGGTCCCTGTGAGCCCAGCGCGGGGTCCCCGCAGAACCAGGACCCCCGGGGCTCCCCAGCGCACCCCCCGGCCCCGCTGGGCTCACTCTGAAGCAAGAGCAGGACGGCCGAGTTGTCACCGTCACCTCCACCCAGGACCCTCTCCCAGGGTGGCTTTGCCCGGGTGATTTGGGGGTGCCGGGGAGGCTGACCCCGTTCCCGGAGCCGGGCTGGGCTGGGCCTGGCGGCACGGACAGGTCGGGGCTCGTCTCTCCCGCCCCGTCCCGGCATCCGCGGCCGCCGCCCTCGCCGGGCCCCGCCGGCCGGGCAAGCCGGGACCGGAGCGCTGGATGCCGGCCACGGGCGGGACAGCCCGGGCAGCCTCCGCCTGCGGCTGGATCCGCGGCTGAGGGCACGGGCTGCGGTGCCCCTTCCTCCCCCAGCCCCGGGGGACACGGGTTGTGACAATCCCAGGGCTCTGTCCAGCGCCCAGCGCGTGCCTCAGTTTCCCCAGTCACCCAGGGAGCGTGGGGTGGGGCTGTGTGAGGGGGAGCTTGGCACAGACGGTTTTCACCGAACCTTTGGGTATTTATTTGCCAGCCTGGCTGGCTCGGCCCCGCAGGGAATTAATCCCCGGCCGCAGAGGGGATTACTGGGGACCTGGGGCCGCTTGAGCTCCACAAAGAGGATTAAGGACAGGGAACGTGGGGATGGGCAGCGAGAGCCCCGGGGCACCGCTGGCCTCTGGGGGGGACAGGGGGACATTCCCAGGGACAGGGACCCGGCTGGGTACAGACACGGACAGGGCAGCCCTGGGCTCGGGGTGCTGCCCACGGAGGGGCCACGGGGGCACTGGGGTGTGCCCTGAACTGGGGGCACTGGGAGCTGTGGTTTGGTGATGGTGACACTGGGAGCAGTGTCCTGTCCTGGTGACACTGGGAGATGTGGCTTCGTGCTGGTGACACCGTGTCTTGTACCGGTGTCACTGGGAGCTGTGATTTCCTGCTGGTGACACTGGGAGCAGTGTCCTGTACTGGTGGCTACTGGGAGATGTGGTTTTGTGGTGGTGGAACTGGAGCAGTGCCCTGTCCTGGTGACACCGGGAGCCGTGTCCTGTCCTGGTGTCACTGGCAGCTGTGATTTCGTGCCGGTGACACCGTGTCCTGTCCTGGTGGCACCGGGAGCTGTGATTTCGTGCCGGTGACACCGTGTCCTGTCCTGGTGTCACCGGGAGCTGTGATTTCGTGCCGGTGACACCGTGTCCTGTCCTGGTGTCACCGGGAGCTGTGATTTCGTGCCGGTGACACCGTGTCCTGTCCTGGTGGCCCCTGGGAGCTGAAGTCCGGGAGCACGGCAGGCACTGGGAGCTGCAGGGCAGAGTTCACTGGGGCGTGCTGGGAGCTGTGACCCGCTGTACTGGTGTGTGCGGGCAGGGGGATACTGGGGGGCACTGGGCAGCGGTCACTGCCGGCTGGGAGGGCACAGAGGGAAACCTGGAGCCGGGAGAGCCCTGGAAGCTCGGGGGGAACCCTGGGAGCTCCTGGGGAGCACCGGGGGCTGCGCCGGGGAGGGCACTGGGGTGGAACTGGGAGGCACTGGGAGCTGCGGGGAGCACTGGAACTGTCAGGAGCGCTGGGAGCGGGGGGTCACCGGCAACTGGGGGACAACTGCGATGGTGGCGGGGGGCGCTGGGGGGAGCGCTGGGAGCTGCAGGGAGGCTCCGGCACTGCGAGGCGCTGGGAGCTGTAGTCGGACTGCGCCTACTGGGAGCTGTAGTCCGGGCTCCCAGCGCATACTGGGAGCTGTGGTCCCGGGCCGGGGCCGTACTGGGAGCTGAGGTTGGGCACTGCGGGGTGCAGGGTGGTCCTGCCGTGGTGGCAGCCCCGCACTGTCCCCTCCGCAGGGGTGTCCCCTCTGCAGCTGCCCGTGGGGAGAGGAACGGGGCGGGGGTCTCATCCCTGAGCAGCCCCGAGGGTGTGGAACTAGGAGGGGGTGGAACTGGGGGTCTCTGGGGGGGCTCTGGGCAATGAGAGAGGGATGGGGAAGGGAGGAGGGAGCGGGTTGGGGTCGCTCAGGGGTGTCCCCTCTGCAGCTGCCCGTGGGGAGAGGAACGGGGCGGGGGTCTCATCCCTGAGCAGCCCCGAGGGTGTGGAACTAGGAGGGGGTGGAACTGGGGGTCTCTGGGGGGGCTCTGGGCAATGGGAGAGGGGTGGGGAAGGGAGGAGGGAGCGGGTTGGGGTCGCTGGGGTGGGGGACAGACACCGACCCCGTGTCTCTGCTCAGGCTGGCTGCGGCAGCATGGGGGGGATGCTGGCGCTGCCCCCGGGGCAGGGACCCCACCAGGTGGGCTGCACGGATGTCATGGTGGGCCACACGCGGCAGGTACGGGATGGGGACAGCGATGACGATGGGCACAGGGACACGCTTCCCTGCAGAGCAAGGTGGTGCAGGTTTTGGACACTGCCACCACCCTTTGTGCTGTCCCCACTGTGTCCCCCTTCCCTGTCTCCCTTCAGGGGCTTTTCCTCCGCCTCTTCTACCCGTGCCTGCCCCGGGCAGGGGCCACGGAGCCGCTCTGGGTCCCTCGCCCCGAGTACTGCGGGGGCCTGGCCGATGTCACCCTGGGTCGCCGCTGGTGCTCCGCCCTGCTCGGCATGGCCGTCGGTGAGGGGGACACCCCCAGCCCCACCCTGGGGGCTCCCCGGTCCTTAGGGGGGGTTAATCCCCCCGTGCCTGGGTGGATGCTGCAGGCGGGGCTGGGGCTGGGCAGGGACCTGTGGCACCCACCGCCCGTGTCCCCCCACCCCGTTCCTGGGGGTCTCTCGTCCCTGCAGGCTCCTGCAAGGTCCCGGTGAGCTGGAACGGGCCCCTCAAGCCCCGCAGCAGCGGGTACCCCCTGATCATCTTCTCCCACGGCCTGGGAGCCTTTCGGTAAGGTGAGCCCCGAGCAGGGCTGGCACAGGGGTGTGGGGACCCTCCGCGGCCCCACCCAGACCTGCCCCGAGCCCTGTGCTCCCATCTCCCTTCCAGGACCTTGTACTCTTCCATCTGCACAGAGCTGGCGTCCTGGGGCTTCGTGGTGGCAGCGCTGGAGCACAGGTGGGTGCCCAGGTCACCACCAAGTTCGAGCTGAGGCTGGTGGCACGTCGTGCCCCGGGGGGAACTGCAGTGTCCCCTTCCCTCCTGCCCCCACAGGGACCACTCTGCTGCCACCACCTATTTCTGCCCGGCAGAGGCTGGCACGGAGGAGTGGATCCCCTTCCAGCGGGTGCCCCGAGGGCAGAAGGAGTTTTATTTCCGAAACAAGCAGGTACCAGGGCGGGGGGGACCAGGGTGGGCAGAGGGGAGGTTTTCCTGGAATTCCTCCTGCAAGCCAGGCTGGCCCTGCATCCCTGGGGATGCTCTTCCCAATGCTGTATTGCCACGGCGCTGAGCTTTCTCCTCGGAGATGAGAGAAATCCGTTCAGCCTGTTTCTCTGTTTCCTGGGCTCCGTCTGTCCTGGCAGGAGCCAGGCTGGGCTTTGCCATGGCCTGGATAATGTCCCTCACACCCTGGGGAGAGCAGGACTCTGTGCCCAGCCCAGCTCTGCACCAGCTGCTGGGTTTGTTCCCACTGGGATTTTTGTCTCTCTGGGATTATCCCAGACAGCTGCTTGCTGGGGAGCAGGAAGGTTTTCCTGCTGAGCCAAGTTCCCCCCCTCTGTTTGTTTCTGCCTCATTTAAAAGGACAACGGCAAGTGAAGATTAGTCGTGGAAAAGCTCTCTAGGAACGGAGGTGCTTTTGGCAGCCTTAAATCACCTCCCAGCCTGTTCTTTTTGTGTGAGCTCTGCCTCATGGCACATTGCACAGAAACGGAAACAGTTCTGAACCCATGAGCAGAAATGGTGAGGGAGAAGGAGAAATAAATGAAAGAGAAATAACTGATAGATAGACAGAAATAGTTGCCAGGCCAGTCTCCATTATGGCATTTTCTGTGTTGCAGGGAGCAGGAGAGAGGTTTTCATTGGAGATTTTTGTCACTTGTCACCTTAAATGTGCACAGACAGCAACACTGGTGTCCTTAGGGCAGCCGAGGACATGGCCTCAAAGTGGCTCCGAGTCAGGGCATCCTCTCCCTGAATCATTTGGGATTTTAGGATGGGATTTTAGGATGCTCCTGGGTGGTGCCCCTGAGCTGGGTTTTAGGGGGACACCCAGCTTTGCTCCTGGCTTAGGGGCTCTGGGGTCCCTGTGGGGTTTGGAGCAGGGGATGGCTCGGTTGGGAGGCAGCTGGTGAGAAACCCAGGCTGTCCCTCCTCTGTTTC